AAAGAACAGAGCGATGACAAATAAGCATGATGAAAGCAGAGCCAGCATGCAACTCGCACGGGACGCAGAGCAACGCGCCCTAGACGCCGTCGAGACGGAATGTGACAGTCCCCCCCCCTCCTTCCCCGCACCCACCCATTTCAGCACCAGCTCAACAACAGCCACCACCAACGGCAGAGGGTTCCGGGCATGCGTAGTGCTGTGGGTGTTTGAGAGGAGATGGAGGAGAAGAGTGGACGGCTGTGGGAACAGGCATTGGCAGAGTGACGAAGGGGGGCGGATTACCTCGTTCGTCGGAAAGGTAGGTACCTATACTTGCCTGGTGTTAGTAGATGAAGGATCCCAGACAGGCAGACGGGCAGACAGGCAGACGGGCAGACAGGCAGACAGACAGGCAGGCAGGCAGGCAGACAGACGAGACAGGCAGGGCGGCGGGGTGGAAGCTATGTAGCATGTAGGAGTAGGAGCAAGTACTAGAGTAGAGTGAGCGAGACTTTGTTGGTGCAACGGTCTAGGCTCCTGGCACGCCTGTTGGGCTGCATGGATCATCCTTTTTGAACCTGATCAACCGGATCCGCTTGCAGGCTCGGCAAACGGCCGCGGCCACAAGCGCGCACCCTTGCCCTTCTCTCCATGAACACAGGCTGCAGACAGGGTAGGCTACCTAGCTAGTAGGCTTTTCCAGGCTTGTCGTGTGCGAATGACTAACGTCGTCGCAAGTCTGCGTCTTTGTGCCTACCACTACCGGCTGTCAGCTGCGGGTGAAGGTGTGTGGTGGTGAGATGTGATGAGGGTGTAACTTTCTTAAAGGTACTTATTCTGCTCCACGCTACCTTCCCATGTACCGGTAGAGTGACAGCATGAAAGAAACGTCGGATTGCCTCGTTGACTATCTATCCTCTTACTTTGGCTGGACTTTCTTTTTCGTTTCTTTTTTTCTTTTTTTTTTTTTCGCTTCTCTTCCCCATTGCAGTGGCTCGAACCGGTTGGCCAAAGAGCTTCAAAGTTCATGGGTGGGAGGGGTGGAGAGGTGGAGAGGTGTGTGTGGGTACAAGTCCATGTCTGCTAAGAAATCCCTTTCTGCCGGGTTGCCCCCCAAAGGCCCAAACCCGGTCTAGGTTGCAGGATTCCGGCC